GGCCTTTGAGCCACGCCCGCCTCCCAGCTGCGACCCATAGGTGCAAGAAAGGTCGTCGACTTGACCCTTTACACATCCAGCACCCCCCGGAGGCTCATCTTCCCGCAGGCAGGGCCCAGAGCACATGTTCAGGCCCTGATGCCTGCGGGGTTTAGCAATCTGACCGCTCCGGCCTTCAGGGTCCGGGTGCCTATGCTATTGAGCCAGATTATGTAGGGGGCGGTTGGTGTGGGAAAATAAAGATGCCAATGAGATCCCTAGTTCCCCCGCCCATGAGTCCCACTTCTGAGACCAGAGGCCTCCAGAGGCTGTCAGTTCAACACCGTCACTACAAAAATTTTCTTCTAAAAGAACCACCCAAACAGAAACGATGTAAGCAGGCAGCAGTGCATTTGCCCCTCATTTTAATTTGAAGTGGTGTGTGCGTGTGTTTGGGCCTGATAGGCTGCCAGAGGCCTGATTACTATATTAGCGATTCAAAATATATGTTTGAGCTCAAGGAAGGAAGCTGAGCATAGACACACTCGTGCACACCACCACCACTACAGGCTCTGCTGTTTCCCATTGGATTAAATACAATCTTCTTAGTCATTAACATATTATTTTGTTCGTGTGCTGCTGTACAATTTTGATTCTCCACATTCAAAATATTTTCAGATCATAGCAACCAAAGGTTCACATTTCTCTCATTTTGTAGCACAGCGTCTCGGAGCTGGAAGGAGCTTTAGAAATGAGTCCAACCCCCTCATTTCACAAACGAGGAAATTGAGGCCTAGAAATAAATGCTTTTCTATATCTCCCGAGAAAAGGGAGGCTAAACTGGGGAATGACTAGGCTCTCTGCAGTCTAGGAGGTCCTTCCCCTACACGTGGTATCTTTTGCTTTCTGTTCTTGTGAAGGGACATGGGGTTATTGAGGACCTGGTTTTAACCTGTGGTATAGGTGAAGGGGTCAACAACTACTTCTAGGGCTCTCTCACTCTCCCTCTATCTCTATCTCTCTATTTCCACTGACAGTCTGGGGAAAAAATAAGTGATTAGATTGTCTGCAAGGGCTGGAGAGATGGTTAAGAGCACTGCTGCTCTTCCAGAGGACCTGGGTTAATTTCCAGCACCTACATGGTGCACACAACTGTCAGTCCCAGAGTCTCTGACACCCTCTTCTGCAGGCACCAGGTATGCATGCAATGCATAGGCATAAATGAAGGCAAAACACTTATACATGTAAAATATTTCTTAGTTAAAAATTGATTGTGGACTTTGTGACAACAGTCCCTGCTGGCATCATAGGTCAGCCCAAAGACCAGGGATGGCGAGCGGCAAAGATGGCTGTCATCTCACCTGTTCTTCTCTACTTTCGAGACTTAGAAGGCTTTACTTCTTGTAACACCCACTCTAAAAGGACTATAGGCACAGTCTACTTTTATCTGGGACAGCATTTGCTTGCTTTGGCGGCTCTGTGAGATGCCAGACCCTATGCTTAGGGAATATGGAGGAGCTTGAAGCAGTGGAAGGGAAGGACAAATAGTCAAGGACAATACAGCTGGACGAGGACAACATGAGTATGCCAAATGTGCTTTGATAAATGCAGTCAAGCAGGTGTGGTACCATATACCTGTCACCCCAGCACCAGAGAAGATGAGGTAAGAGGGGTGGTGAGTTAGCAGTTAGCCTGGGCAATGTAGTAAGAGCCTGTTTCAAAAATCAAACCACTAACACAACAAAAAGTGGCCATGTGCTTGAAGAAGAAATTGATTCAATAAACATTTACTCAGTGCTTACTATGCATCTGGCACAATTCATGCAGCATTTTGTTTCATTTATATGCATTGGTGTTTTGCCTGCGTGCACATCCATGTGAGGGTATCAGATTCCCTGGAATTGGAGTTACAGACAGTTGTGAGCCTCCATGTGGGTTCTGGGAATTGAACCCTGGTCCTCTCTGGAAAGGCAGCCAGTGATCTTAACCACTGAGCTGTCTCTCCAGCCATTCACTTTTTTTTTTCTTTGAGACAGAGTCTCAGATAGCCCAGGGCTTCAAATGCATTGTAAGTAGATTCCTGATCCTCCTACCTCTACTTCCCAAATACTTGGATTATAGGCATATGTCATCTTGCCAAGCCCAGTGTTTATTTCCTAAGAGAATGAACTAGGGATCTGGGCATGGTGGCTCATGTCTGTGCCCTCAGCACTTGGGAGGTTGAGGCAGGAAGATTGCTATGGATTGGAGGCAAATCTTGGACTTCTGTGTATAACCAGAACAAAGACAATCCGTAGTCCGTAAGGTCAAGATATCTTTATTCAGATAAATACCAGCCAAATGCAAGCCAGAACGTGTCCAGGACAGCTGAGCAGCAAGGCCAGAGAACTCCCATGTGCTCACTGCCCCTTAAGAGCCCATCCCACATCTTTCTGACCTCACCTTGACCACGCCTTGGCAGGCATGGTCAGGCACATCTGTAGCCAGCCTCTAACAGGTGTGGCTTACTGTCCCCTACATCTGTGATTGATTGAATGAGAAATGGCCTCTATATGTGTATATTCAAACACTTGGTCCTCAATTAGTGGCACTGTTTTGGGAGATTATGGAACCTTTAGGAGGTATGATATATTGTTTCTTTCCTATTGCTGTTATAAAAAACCACTATGACCAAGACAACTTATAGAAGAGTTGTCTTGTAATTCCAGAGCGTTAGTGTCCATGATGGCAGAGCAAAGGTGTAGCAGCAGGATCAGGAAGTTGAGGGTCATATTTATTTATTTCTTTATTTATTTATTATTTTTGAGATTTATTTTTTATTTAAATTAGAAACAAGCTTGTTTTACATGTCAATCCCAGTTTCTTCTCCCTCCCCTTCTCCCCTGCCCCCCACTAGTCCCCATCCCATTCCCTTTCTGCTCACCAGGGAGGGTGAGGTCTTCCATGGGGGAATCTTCAGTGTCTGTCATATCATTTGGGTCAGAGCCTTGGCCCTCCTCCATGTGTCTAGGCTGAGAGAGTATCCCTCCATGTGGAATGGGCTCCCAAGGTCCATTCTTTTGCTAGGGATAAATACTGATCTACTACCAGAGGCCCCATGAGGGCTCCTGATTTTTAACTGAAACCATGAAACAGAAAGCAGGCTATAAATGATGGCAGTCTTTAAACTTTCAAAGCTTGCCCGTATTCCTCCAGCAAGGCCACACCTCCTAAGCCTTCCCAAACAGCACCCATCAACTGAGGACCAAGTCTTCAAAAGACTCTGGGGAATATCTTACTCTAGCCACACATAGAGTCTTGCTGGAGGAAGTACATTCCTGGGGGTGGAGACCTCAGTTTCCTTGCTTTATTTATTTATTTCTTTATTTGAGACAGGGATTTGCTAAGTAGTCCTCACTGGCCTTGAACCCAAGATCCTCCTGACTCAGTCTCTAGATTGATTGGGTTACAGGAAAGCCACTTGTTTGTCTGGGACTTGGCTTCAGGAGACTCTATGCTATAGCTACAGTGGAGCCACTGAGGCTTGAGACTGATAGGGTTATAGCAATATAGCAGCAATTGCTATGCCCCATGCTAAGCATTTGATGTTTACTTCAAATGAACTGCAAACCCTATTGGAAAAATTCCTACCCTCATTTTCCACGTGAGTTAACAGAACACACAGAGGTTTAGAACTCACTTCAGGCCATCCACCTAGTAAGGGAAAGGGTCAGCATTCAAACCCAGACTGCTTGACTTCAAAGCCTGCCCTCCTCCTCAGGTTGCTATACTGCTCTAGTTGAAGATGTAAGTAAAGGACAGCAGAAAGAGAAAGTGTTTGCCTTGTTTGGCAATTTACCCACTCCATAGAAATTCGCTAAGGGCTTTGCTTTGTGCTTAGAGTTAGAAGCCATTCAGCCCCTTACCCTTTATTGAGCCTTACTGCTCATCAAGCCCTGTTCCACCTAGAACAGGGAAGCAGCTGTGAGCCCAACCAAGCTCACCTGGTGCTTACATTGAGTTAGAATGATTAAAACATGCGTCCCCCACCACCTCAGGAGGCACAAATATTATGGGACAGGACTTGGGATTGGACAGAAGGTTAGAAGCAGAGTAGACTCTTTTAGAATTTTAGGTCACATTGGAAAAAGGTCTTCCTACAGCTGACGGGAAACACACTGGTTATTTATAAGTTTAAGGATTTTTAAAAAAAATTTTTAAAGTTTTTTTTTAAAGATTTTATTTATTCCCAGGATAGGCTCCAAAGCTACATAGAGAAACCCTGACTCAGAACCCCCCCAAAAAAGATTTTATTTATTTATTATGTATACAACATTCTGCTTCCATGTAAATCTGCACACCAGAAGAGGGCAACAGATCTCATAACGGATGGTTGTAAGCATGTGGTTGCTGGGAATTGAACTCAGGACCTCTGGAAGAGCAATCATTGCCCTTAACCTCTGAGCCATCTCTCCAGCCCACACTGGTTATTTAGCAATGCTCA